AACATATTCAGTCATATGTACATGTAGTATGTAGCTCAATGCCACACGAATACGAATAAGCCATAGAACATACCTCAGTGGTAGTAGATCAGATACAGAACGTACGGTCATACTTCAGTCATATATAGTATGTAGCTCAATACTACACGAATCAGTCATAGAATATATCTCAGTGGTATTAAAATCAGATACAAAACGGGCATACTTCAGTTATATGCGGTATGTGGCTCAATGCTACAAGAATCAGCCATAGAACATACCTCAGTGGTGGTAGAATCAGATACAGAACGTACGGTCATACTTCAGTCACATAAACAGTACAACCAGAAATTATTGAAATTTAAAGATTGTAATTTTTTTATTTTTTTCACTCATTACTCACTTATTAAATGTTAATATTAGCAGAATATAACTCCAGATTCAAAGACAGGTCAACAGTTAGTATTTTGTCAAGTCACCATGGGCAGCAATGCAGGCTTCAATGGGGCGGGGAATACTACTGATCAAAGAAGTTAGAAAGTCGTGGTCCATGCTGTCCCAATATCGGACCACCTCTTCTTTCATTTAAGCAATATTTGTCAGATTTTGTCCTATTGACACTTTCTTTCATAAGTCCCCAAACATTTTCTATTGGATTTAGGTCAGGGCTATAGCTTGGCCAATATAATAATGTCATATTTTAGGTCCGAAACCAGGCCTGTGAATGCTTTGAACGATGTTTTGGGTCGTTGTCCTGCTGGAAAATCCAAAACTTTCCATAGAACACGTGAGCAGATGGAAGTAAATGTCCCTCGAGAATATCTGTATACCGCTCACTGTTCATATCCCCTTCATATACACAGAGGGGCCTTGCCCCTAACACAGATATGCCACCCCACACGTTAAATTTCGGACTGTACTTTGGGCGCTGATACAAACGTTTTTCAGTTTGTTTGGTCCAGAATTTCAGTGTATAAGGAAACAGCCACACAGAACTTTCATCTGAGAAAATCACTTTGTCCCAGTTAATTTTTTTATGCTGTAAGCACCAGTTCAACCTTCGCTCCTTTTGTTCAGGTTTCATGATCGGTGATGGAATTCCTCGACTTTTCTGCCAACCCATTGCATGCAGCTCAGTTCTAATTGTCTCCTTACAGACAGCCACAGTTCCTCTATCAATCATATCCAGCCTTAAGTTTTCTAAACTCCTTCGGTTTGTTTTAGAAACAAGAATACCAAGCCGCCTCCTGTCACCGACAGTCAATTTTCTTGGCCTACCTGCGCCTCCCTGGTGCTCAATGTTATATCCATTTGTAATATTTTTCAAAACACGATAAACAGTGGACAAAGGGATGCCTGTTCTACTTGAAATCACTTTAGCTGATCTGATGTCCTTGTTATGATACTCTAAAATCAACTTCCTCTTCTCTAAATCATCCATACTGAGGATCACTGAAAATGTTGTCTGCTAGCAAGTAAACAAAGGGGGATAACTCTTCACAAACTAATGAAAAAGGATTAACGGAGTTGTCTCTCTTGAATGAAACCAAGCACTTGATAGCTGGTCAAGGTTATTTAAACTAGAAATCCAATTAAACATATTCCTAAAATTCTCAATAATTTCTGGTCATACTATATATTGGTCATACTGGTGTATTTCGACCAACATTATTCAGGAATATGTGTTTATTGACATATATTGGTCATACTGGTGTATTTCGACCAACATTATTCAGGAATATGTGTTTATTGACATATATTGGTCATACTGGTGTATTTCGACCAACATTATTCAGGAATATGTGTTTATTGACATATATTGGTCATACTGGTATATTTCGACCAACATTATTCAGGAATATGTGTTTATTGACATATATTGGTCATACTGGTATATTTCGACCAACATTATTCAGGAATATGTGTCTATGGACATATATTGGTCATATTGGTGTATTTCGACCAACATGGTTCAGGAATACTGACATATACTCTCCCAAAAAAGAAACTCATCATGAAAATAGCAATTTCATGTAGCAATGAATTAAAACGTGATTCATTTTACAAAAGGTTTTGCTCTGTTTATGAGTCCTATGGTGTTTATGTTTTGAAACATCACAACAAAATGCACCATCCGTAAAATACCCGTATTTAACAGCAAGATTTTCAATTTCGGCGTGTAGTGTCACAGAATACACAATTCACATGCAATGCACGTGAAAGTTGGGGATCAGATAGTCTCAATGATGGGTATAAAAGGTTGATCGCTGTCTGTCGATTATTCACTGTATTTGGAATATTGTTGACGAACGCAAAATGCCACGTCAAAGTGAAGCCAACCGTCATATCGCCATTGGTTTGCTTGAAGCTGGCCAGTCTCAACGTGCAGTTGCCCGACGCATGAATGTTCACCAAAGCACCATTTCACGGCTCTGGGAGAGATATCGCCGGCAGAACGCGGTAGCATCCGGGTACATCACCTGCGTCATCGAACAGCTACGGCGACCAGTACCGCTCGACAAGGATTGAGGAGGCTTTCTGCACAGACCGTCAGGAACAGGTTGAGAGAGACTGGTTTACGTGCCAGAAGACCTTATTTTGACGGATAAGTCTGCATTCCCAGTGTGCAATTTCGCTATATTTCATTGACTCATAAAGCCTGCAAGATGTTTCAAAATAAACATAAAAATACAGTTGAAATTCCTATATGCGTTTTTTTTTGGAGGGGAGAGTATATATTGGTCATACTGGTGTATTCCGACGAACATTGTTCAGGAATATGTGTGTACTGATATATATTGGTAATGAAAAAATGTGTATATCGACCAACATTGTTCACAATTATTAATATATCGACGAACATTGTTCAGGAATATGTGTGCACTATTATATGTTGGTCATATTCGTGTATATCAACCAACATTGTTTTTGTTTTTTACATATATTGGTCATGAATATTTGTGCATTGATATATAGTGGTCAATAATATGCGTAAAAGACAAATATATCTACTGCGTATTACACACCATGGGGATGTGTTATCTATTTATTTTGGTCATGGAAATGTGTATTGGGAAACACAATGTTCGTGGATTTACGTTATGTCTGTATTATAATGACATGCCTTTAGGCCTGATTATGATTGTCTGAATCATCCAATGAGACAATACATCAACCGGGGGATACATCAGCATGAAGGGCACGTACACAGACCAGAACATGATTAACCTTTTCCAACACAATGCCATCCCTGATTTTCCATAATCCACTCATATAAATGTCACCAATGTTTGCCCTAAGAAACCTGTTTCGTCGGATAGTCGACACTCATTATTCTTGAACGATCACGTTTTAAATTGACACAACATGTAGATCCCATCTTCAATAAGTTAGAACCTAAACGTGCTTCATACTTGCGGCAGTACCAAGTATCAAGACAATCTGTATACAGATCAGTGTATATCAGTGCACTCTGTCTAATTCGGACCAGCTTGGGACCGACTTAAAAGTCCGAATTATACAGTAGTCCGAAGTACACAGATTTTTATGGAGTTATCTCCCTATCCGAAATAATGAGAGTCCGAGATACAGAACTTTTTATTATGACAACAAAGAAGGATTACGTCGGGACCGTGAGTTCAGTGCTGTTTATACAGCAATCCGAGAAAGACAGAGTCCGAGTTTGACAGAGTGCACTGTATTGCAAAAGGCGGCGTAAAACCATACTCATTCACTGAAGACAACCTGTGTCCTTGTCGGCTATCAGGCTTGTAAGTTTGTTTAGGTGAAGGGTGTTTATTTCATGAATTTCAGGACATGATTAGTGAATTACAACTGAAGGATTTCGACACAGTAAGTCCCTCGCAAACCTTGAACATATCTACGAGTGAGTGAATTTGCATATGTTCTCGACACGTGTCCACGTGTTTGTCAGTGTTTGTGACAGTGCCCCGAGGCCAGTACATTCTGCAGCACTGTGCGTTGTTCTGATTCACATTTGCGTCCGTCACAGAGGAAATGAGCATAACAGAAAGGCTGCCGTTTTTCATTTTACTTGGAGGGATTTCTGAATAGTTAAAACGAGTGGCTTGATGGACGTTACCTAAGACACTAAAATGGGACAACGTTTCACGGTCTCTTGCACCTTGTGGATATGGCTGGACGTTGTGGCTAGTCCCTAGTGTGTGGATACCAACCCTTCTCTAAATCACTCATCTATTTGGTAACTCTGATTCAATCTGTTCACCGCTCAATCCCGAAGACAACCTCAGACAAATCTGAAAAAGCTTTGAGGAAGGGTGCAATTTCTAGTTAAATCACCGAAATAATCTCGAATTCCCAAATCCCGCGTACCTCAAGGTGGTTGCTAGACTAACGCTTAGTCTCTGAATATATATAATTTTGATAATAACAAACAAACCCATATTTATTGAAAAGGGGACCCAGTGAGACCAGAGATTGAGAACCTGAAGAAACCTAGACTTGCTTCATTTAGGGCTCTATCATTACAGAGAGGGCAAGACAGTCGCGGAAACAATGTGGTTCAGGGACTGTGAGACAATCTAGGTGATTGCCAGCTTCTAAAGTGACACCAAGACGCCATGTTTGTATTTGGATAGTATTTGCCGTTACACTATATGAATTTTGTCATTTGAATAAGCTGATGAATAAGATTGTGACAGGGTTAAACGGATTAGAATGACAATTGATACATTGTGAGTAACTTCTACACGTACTGCAGAAGGCCAACATTAACGAATATACACACGCAAGAATGGTGGAACCAGCTGTATAATGCAGAACTGTTTACCATGCTTTTCCAAACCTAAAACAGCTTACAAGTATAATACATTTACTGAAAGTATGATATAGTTCCCATAAGCACAGTAGACATGCTTGTCGTAATAATGCCATTAAATCAATTTCAATTCCCAATTGTGCTACGGAGACATATTCTGAGTTTAAGGACTTTGAACCCAAATACCTTCCATCATGGAATAGTATTACAACTCTAATCTCACCATCGCTTTTCGGTTGTCTTCGGTGATGTTGGTGTAGTACGTCCATGCTGTCTCCTCCCCGATGTAGTACACCTGTTCACTCTCAGCGTTTTGATTCTCCAAAAACGCTTCTGCACGTGCAAGTTCCGAGGCGTTCTGTCCAGTTGCCCCGGGGGTGTACGTAATCCCCACGCCTAGCAGCGCGAGACACAACAGATGTGCGCGCATGTCTGAATGAGATGCAACTGACTGGAGAAGGGGGCGTGTTGATATATAGAGGATTAGGCTTTCCTTGTCATCACCGAGGTCACAGGATGTACCGTCCCAGCCAACTCTCTCTCTCGACACTCGCATGTGTTTCAGCGGTAATATGATACTGTGGTAATCATCTGGAGTTATGACCAATAAAAGTCTCTACCTGGTGAAAATGTCATTACATACCTGTATCAAGGTGTCACTGAAATGTCTATTACGAAAGTTGTTAAATGTTTTGTCTCCTTTATGAAGCGAATGTTGTGTAAGTTATAGATGTTGTCAAATGTTTTCTCTCGTATAGTTGTTAAATGTTGTTGTGTCTAGAGTAGTTGTTGTTATGGTTGTTGTAATTGTTGTTGTTATCTCCGTCTTAATGTTATGATATGTGCTATGGGTGTTGTTAAATTCTCTGAAATGCCGTTGATGTTGCTGTCTATGTTATCCATGTCGTTGATGTTGCTGTCTCTGTTATGCAGGTCGTTGATGTTACTGTCTCTGTTATCCATATCGTTAATGTTGCTGTCTCCGTTATGCATATCGTTGATGTTACCGTCTCTGTTATCCATGTCGTTGATGTTGCTGTCTCTGTTATGCAAGTCGTTGATGTTACTGTCTCTGTTATCCATATCGTTAATGATGCTGTCTCCGTTATGCAGGTCGTTGATGTTACTGTCTCTGTTATCCATGTCGTTGATGATGCTGTCTCTGTTATGCAGGTCGTTGATGTTACTGTCTCTGTTATCCATGTCGTTGATGTTGCTGTCTCTGTTATCCATGTCGTTGATGTTACTGTCTCTGTTATGCATGTCGTTGATGTTGCTGTCTCTGTTATCCATGTCATTGATGTTGCTGTCTCTGTTATCCATGTCGTTGATGTTACTGTCTCTGTTATCCATGTCGTTGATGTTGCTGTCTCTGTTATCCATGTCATTGATGTTGCTGTCTCTGTTATCCATATCGTTGATGTTACTGTCTCTGTTATCCATGTCGTTGATGTTGCTGTCTCTGTTATCCATGTCGTTGATGTTACTGTCTCTGTTATCCATGTCGTTGATGTTGCTGTCTCTGTTATCCATGTCATTGATGTTGCTGTCTCTGTTATCCATATCGTTGATGTTACTGTCTCTGTTATCCATGTCGTTGATGTTACTGTCTCTGTTATCCATGTCGTTGATGTTACTGTCTCTGTTATCCATGTCGTTGATGTTGCTGTCTCTGTTATCCATGTCGTTGATGTTACTGTCTCTGTTATCCATGTCGTTGATGTTACTGTCTCTGTTATCCATGTCGTTGATGTTACTGTCTCTGTTATCCATGTCGTTGATGTTGCTGTCTCTGTTATCCATGCCGTTGATGTTGCTGTCTCTGTTCTCCATGTCGTTGATGTTGCTGTCTCTGTTATCCATGTCGTTGATGTTGCTGTCTCTGTTATGCAAGTCGTTGATGTTACTGTCTCTGTTATCCATGTCGTTGATTTTGCTGTCTCTGTTATCCATGTCGTTGATGTTACTGTCTCTGTTATCCATGTCGTTGATGATGCTGTCTCTGTTATGCAGGTCGTTGATGTTACTGTCTCTGTTATCCATGTCGTTGATGTTGCTGTCTCTGTTATCCATGTCTTTGATGTTACTGTCTCTGTTATCCATGTCGTTGATGATGCTGTCTCTGTTTTCCAGGTCGTTGATGTTACTGTCTCTGTTATCCAGGTCGTTGATGTTACCGTCTCTGTTATCCATGTCGTTGATGTTGCTGTCTCTGTTATCCATATCGTTGATGTGGTTGTCTCTGTTATGCATGTCGTTGATGTTTCTGTTGCTGTCTCTGTTATACATGTCGTTGTTGTTGCTGTCTCTGTTATGCATGTCGTTGCTGCTGATGTCTCTGTTATGCATGTCGTTAATGTTGTTTCTGTGATGCATGTAGTTGATGTTTGCTGTCTCTGTTATCCATGTCGTTGTTGTTGCTGTCTCCGTTATGCATGTCGTTGACGATGCTGTCTCTGTTATGCAGGTCGTTGATGTTACTGCCTCTGTTATCCATGTCGTTGATGTTGCTGTCTCTGTTATCCATATCGTTGATGTGGCTGTCTCTGTTATACATGTCGTTGATGTTGCTGTTTCTGTCTCTGTTAAACATGTCGTTGTTGTTGCTGTCTCTGTCATGCATGTCGTTGCTGTTGCTGTCTCTGTCATGCATGTCGTTGCTGTTACTCTCTCTGTTATACATGTTGTTAATCTTGTTTCTGTGATGCATGTCGTTGATGTTGCTGTCTCTGTGATGCATGTCGTTGTTGTTTCTGTTATGCATGTCGTTGTTGTTTCTGTGATGCATGTCGTTTATGTTGTTTCTGCCCTGCATGTCGTTGATGTTTGCTGTCTCTGTCTTCCATGTCGTTGATGTTGTTGTCTCTGTTATGCATGTCGTTAATGTTGCTTCTGTCTTGCATGTCGTTGCTGTTGCTGTCTCTGTCATGCTTGTCGTTAATGTGGTTTCTGTTATCCATGTCGTTAAAGTGGTTTCTGTTATCCAAGTCGTTGATGTTGCTGTCTCTGTTATCCATATCGTTGATGTTGCTGTCTCTGTTATCCATGTCGTTGATGTTGCTGTTGTTGTTTCTGTTATCCATGTCGTTGATGTTGCTGTCTCTGTTATGCAGGTCGTTGATGTTGCTGTCTCTGTTATCCATGTCGTTGATGTTACTGTCTCTGTTATCCATGTCGTTGATGTTGCTGTTTCTGTTATCCATATCGTTGATGTGGCTGTCTCTGTTATGCATGTCGTTGATGTTGCTGTTGCTGTTTCTGTTATACATGTCGTTGTTGTTTCTGTCTCTGTCATGCATGTCGTTGCTGTTACTGTCTCTGTTATACATATTGTTAATGTTGTTTCTGTGATGCATGTCGTTGATGTTGCTGTCTCTGTGATGCATGTCGTTGTTGTTTCTGTTATGCATGTCGTTGTTCTTTCTGTGATGCATGTCGTTTATGTTGTTTCTGCCCTGCATGTCGTTGATGTTTGCTGTCTCTGTTATGCATGTCGTTGATGTTGATGTTGCTGTCTCTGTCATGCATGTCGTTGATGTTTGCTGTCTCTGCCATCCATGTCGTTGTTGTTGCTGTCTCTATTATGCATGTCGTTGCTGTTGCTGTCTCTGTAATGCATGTCGTTGCTGTCGTTTCTTGTCCGTTCCAAATGCTGTTCTGGCACTGAAAAGTGACCGTGAAGAGAAAACGTAGACAAAATTACATTACAAACTCACAGTCGACTGCATGTTTCAGCGTCATGATAGTATAATAACACATATAACTGCTATGTTAACTTTACACACCGTTAGTATTGTGATAAAAGGTGGCGGATTGTTTACATTATATGCAGTGTATCGTCTTGATAAAGCTTAAGGCTCCGCCTTGCATCTGATCTCAGGAGGTTGTTTTATTGCAATACGTGACGGGTCAGTAGTGGTATGTTGCTAATGAGTTGTGACCCAAATATCTCCAGTTTCGTAATAGTCCTATCTATTCAGTTTCATATGTAGGCATTGTCTCCAGATGGTGGAAGATGCCATGTACATTGTACAGTGGATTTCGTTATGTCTCCTATGCTGGACAAAAATAATTAGGGATATTTGTAACTTTTGAAATTATGAATAATGATTTATTCATTCATTGACACACTGATAAAATATCAATCATAAAAATACCAATATCCCTAACTTATTTTGTCCAGTATATGTCCTGTTGGGATACCGATTAATGTTGAGCTGTATTTTCTGTTAAAATATTTAAGGGAACATCGAAACAGCTTTCTCAACGCGAGGGGGATGAAAGAACTTTTTTAACTGAAAACAAAATTCATGCGGGGACACAGTATTTCTTACCATAAACACAACTAGGCACATACTGAACTTGTCCGTTTAAAAAGAATGCCATTTGTCACCTATTATATTTTTGGGATGTACGTTTCATCCAATTATTTTCTTTCACGTGACAATAAATATTAATGACACTCAGAATTTGAATGGACGCACTTATGTACAAGAGACAACACAGGGGCGTGTCACGCTTAGAAACAACGTTAAAAGACATATAGATATATAGACCCTGTAGGGTCTATATACCTATATGTGTTTCTAACACTGTTTCTAAGCGTGTAGGGTCTATATACCTATATGTTTCTAAGCGTGACACGCCCCTGTGAGAGACAATTCAACTCTTAGACTGAACTGACGGGGTAAAAGAGAGTATATATTTAAAGATATCTTCTTCACTGCTATCGCTAAACAAAGTATCGCTTAGTTCATCTCATTACTGGTTCCCTGAGAAGGACCTTTCCACCGACCAATCAGAGAGTCGCTGACCGGTATCATTCCTCACCACCCGCCCCTTTCCGTAACCCCTAATAAAGGCTTCTCCAGTTGGTCACGTATGAACCAGAAACCAGTCGAAATGTGTTTTCTAACAATCGAAACGGTTAACTCGGGGTATTCCGCGCGTCAGTTACGGGCTGTACGACTAATTCCGTCGAAATCATCGTATATCTCTCACTTCAGTGGGATAAACATTTGAACAAAACTGACTGAATATCCCGTGAGATATACTGCCACACAATTTCTGCATTCAATTAGACATTCCAGAAAGTTTTCTTGCTTTCAAATTATGTATCGAGAACAAAATAAAATATTGTCCTTAGCTTAGTCTGACATGCAAATGGCCACTTTGAGACATTTGCTATACACCTCGAGAAAGCCGCTTTCTGATTGGCTAATATAGACTTTTGTTAGTGATTTCATTGGTCGGTCAAATTCGTCAAAGGTAATGGGATGTCGTCCAATCTGTGTTTAGACCGAAGATCTGATTTTATCAATTTTGAAAACACAAAATGCTTTCATCATGGCGGGAGGATTGATGCTTTTGCTCGTAAAGCAAAAGGTCGCGCCGAAGACCCGGGCTCTAATCCACGTATGCGCAGCGATAAAAATATCACTCGCACGTGGAGCATTCAAACCTAGAGAGGATGCAATGGATCCACATGCAGCAGGCACGTCATGACATGGCCTGCATATCAAACCAGGGAACATTTCATGAAATATCTGAGATACATTTCACTGATCTTGATAAACAAGGACATATTTAACAGGGGTCACAGTACGGCAAGTCGCCCAAAGTGCCACAACCCACTCCTCCCGTTTAATCCCTATCACATTAAGGAACGTATCCTAAGATTACCTCTCCACCTCAGTCATAACCTGACCAGGAAGGTAGGGGCCTGATTCGACACGGACACTTTACCTGCTGTTGGCGCGTTCACACGCCCTTTGTCGTATACATTGTCAAAGGGGGTTATCGGCGATGTGACCTTTGTTTTGAGGAAAAGGAATTGTTGTGCTGTCCCACAAGACACGCCTTCAGCACGGTAGAGCGCAGTTTTTCCCCAAACCCCAAAAAACTATTTAAGCGAGGTTTTTTTTCTGTATGTTTGTTATTCAGGAATGAGCAGCTGTCACTTTCGCATTGTTCTTCGTGGCGTCTCTGTTGTGATTGACGTGACACGAGGAAGTTGTTTTAGGTACGGGTTAACCATTTTCGTTGGATGTTAATTTTCTATGGGTCCTGGGTCCCGATCCACAAACGGTTCGTAACGTTACGTCATATCGTAACTCCATACTTTATTATAGGCTTACGTATGACATATGTTCATTATCTCTCATTTGCATTTGAATAATATACATAACATATTTGTTTCCCGCTTAAGAAATCTTGTTTGAAGTTATGTCCCGTTTCCTGCATATTCCTCAGGTAGAGTCTCTCAGCGGTTGCTCACTACCGCTGTCAACACGTGCTGTTTGTGTGTGACATGGTCACGTGGCTGTGTGTCCTGCGTGAGACATTGTTTTCTTTGAGCACGATTTCTGCTTGCTGCCCTGTGCGTTACTTTGTGGGTTTCCAACAAGATCAAATGGGATACACAACGAAATGTGCTTATCACGTCCTTCGCAAGTTCCAATCTGGTTTTACAACATTAAGTAAATTTGTCGGTTAACGTCGCACTCAGCAATATTTCAGCTATAAAGGAACGGTTGGTAAAAAAGTCGACAATCCAGTGGTCGACATCAAAGCGGCGTAAAACTAAACTCACTTGCACACTATGAACACAAAGAAATGTAAATGATATGATGGAGAGGATCGGAAGAAAGGGAAAAACGTGTTTTCTGGGCGACAGAGGAGCTTTGTGACCGAGGGTGAGGTCACCTGTAGAGCACATACGTTACGATAATGACATTTCTTAAAGACTAACATCGTCGTATTTCAAACACTCGGGGTGACTGCGCGCTGACTTGACCACGTGTAGTCTTTTTGAGGGTTTTCTTCAGAGACATGGTGAACATATCAAGTAAAGGTTACACACGGCGAAATACCAAGATACCTGTTTGATAACTACACTGACAGAAGTTGTAAGAATCCATGTGTGACGATGTGGCATCAGTGTGTACTACAGAACTCCCTTGAACAACACGTGTAACTGTACCTATCAATGTCGATATGTTACGGAGACGCGTGCATGATTGGTCATTAAACAAGATAATATGACACTCTTTTCGACAAGTGTTCAGTCGTTAAATACGATGGCTTCAAGGCTGTATTAGGGGCGGTGGGGTAGCCTTGTGGTTAAAGCGTTCGCTCGTCACGCCGAAGACCCGGTTCGACTCCCCACATGGGTACAATATGTGAAGCCCATCTCAGGTGTCTCCCGCCGTGATATTGCTGGAATATTGCTAAAAGCGGCGTAAGACCAAACTCACTTCCATGCTTTGAGATAGTATGCCATAGATGCAGTTCTTTGATTTTTGTCAGTGAACTATGAGACTTTTCAATATGGATTAGTTTTGTTTTGA